CCTGAGACAGAGACATCTCCAAAAGGATGTCTCCTCTGCAGCCCAGACCCCTGGGGCTGCAGAGAAGTGCCTGTTGAGAGCAATTGCTGGACAGACAAACACGGATTCTGGTAACTTGGAGCTGGAGCAGGAGCTGGAAAGGTGAAGGCATCTTCCAGTCTCCTGGCAGCCACGATTTATGGGGAAAAGTTACTGGAGGCCCCTAAGGATGGCTAGCTCTGAGTTGATGGGGCTCCCACCCCCAGGGGGTGAAGGGGTATAGCAGAAATGACCCTGAGGCCCACAGACCTAATACCTACTAGCTATGTGGTCTTCCCTCCATAAGCCTCAATTCTGTCCTCTGTCAAATGGGGCTAAATGATGTTATGAGAATGAAATAAGTGTATATACCCCAAAAAGTTATAATTAGGTAACTCTCCCCAAAGGAGATACGTTAATGCAGGCAAATGGCCTGGCAGGTGATAACTGATCCATAAACGTTTCTTATTATTAATTACCATTATTTATTAATGAAGCCTCTGAAGAGGACACTGGTTGTTGCTTTATCCAAACCTATTTGGGAAGAAAGAAATCAGTGTGTCTGGGGGGACTTGGGAAGGGTGGTATATGGTCATGGATGCACCCAAAGGAGTTTATCTTATCCAAATGATTCCCAAGGGAAATTTCTGCTGGGCAGGATATAAGGGAGGCAGCGGCACTCACCTGTTTTCTTTCATCTTTCTCCCCTAGTGGATAATCAACTCAGTTGTGGACTGTGTGTGTGTGTGTGTGTGTGCGTGCATGTGCGTAATTTTTTGGGCTCACATGGTATTTGGAAAAACAATGAGTTTGAATATTTTAAAATCAGGAGATGTTAAAATTGGAAACTTCAGGTTCCCTGGAAAAATGGGAAGATTTGGCAACGCGGAGCCGAGAGTAGAGCTCTATCTGGCATTCATCTGTTGAGTTCTCAAATTTCCCACAGTCCTAACCTTGTCTATTTCCCTCACCTGCCTGTCCCCAGGAATGTTTTAAGCCCCTGCTCTGGAGGGAAAGAAACAGCCTAACTCCACACTTAGGACATTTCCATAGGGCCTTGCACAGCTCCTGCAGATCCAAGTTGGCTGCTTTGGCCTATTTACTTAATCTTCATCACCATAGCTCAGTCTCAGTTTAGGAAACAGTCATGTTGCTCAATAACAGTCACTGACTACTTTTGGCGCCTCCTTATTTTTTAAAGCCACCATCTCATTTAATTCTCACTGCAGCCCAGGGAGATGGCTGTTGCTATCCTGTTTTACAGATGAGCAAACCAACCAAGCACCAACAAGGTATAGTGCTTGCCCAATACCACCCAGCTGGTAATGGCAGGGTCTAGGTTTGAATCTAGGTCTTTGAACTCCAAAATCTGTGTCTTTCCTCTCAGCCATGAAGAAGATCTCAAAGAAAAATAATTCTACCAAAGAACTCTGGTTACTCATTGCACATACTAGAGCGCTACAGAGAAAGAAGTTGAAAACCTGGGCTTTGGAGTTAGCCTGCCTGGATGTTATCATTGATTCTAGATTTTGTGGTCCTTGGGCAAGTGACTTTTCTTTTCTTTTTTTATTTTATATTTTTTGAGATGGAGTCTCTCTCTGTGGCCCAGGCTGGAGTGCAGTGGCGTGATCTCAGCTCACTGCAACCTCTGCCTCCCGGGTTCAAGAGATTCTTGTGCCTCAGCTTCCTGAGTAGCTGGGACTACAGGTGCCCACCGCCACATCCAGCTAATTTTTGTATTTTTAGTAGAGATGGGGTTTCACCATGTTGGCTAGGCTGGTCTCAAACTCCTGACCTCAAGTGATCTGCCTGCCTCAGCCTCTCAAAGTACTGGGATTACAGGCACAAGTCACTCACTGTGCCCAGCTGACTTTGCTTTTCTAAGCCTCAGTTTCCTTATTTGTAAGAAGAAGTTCCTAATACCTGCTTCATAGGGTTGGTTATGTTTGCTGAAGACTAAGATAATGCATAAAAAATGCTTCCAAAAAGGTCACCTAAGGCACTCCATAGATGCTACTAACACATATATATATATATATATATATATATATAGTGTGTGTGTGTGTGTGTGTGTGTATATATATATATATAGTATATATGCTATACATATAACCGAAAATCTAAAATATTTACAGGTTTGTTTGGAAGCTTGAAGACGTGAGCTGAGCAGTGTGAACGTGTATGGCACGCACCAGGTGCTACTTAAGTCTTCTCTAGCTCCCCGTCTCCCTCCCTGCTTTTTGCTTCTGAGTACCCCGTAGAGACAGAGGACACTGAGCCGTATATGAGAACACCATACCATGGACCTTTAATTAGAACAGAGACATGTTTCGTACAGGCTGAAAAACCAGAAACGCTTGGAAGGTTATGCTTAGCTTTGGAGACCAGAAATCAAGCAGGCCATGGCTGCTGTGTCACTGGGCAGAGGACAGGGTCCCAGGATGCTGGAGGACACAGCAGTTTTTTCCCTCTGATGTGGATGCTCCAGGCAAAGGCTGTCTGGTCAGGCTGAGCTGGGCTGGTGGTGGGTCCTCGACTTGGGAATTTTGCAGAGGAGGTTCCCAGCCTCTAATGTAGAGAAATGGCCCTGGGGTGCACAACGTCCCCAGGACACAAGAGTTATCAAGGTGACAGCAGCTTGAGGTCTCCCATATATGACTGTGGGACTCAGCGACTGTGACCTCACTCTGCAAATGAATTCCAGGCCCCACTTTTTTGTTTCCTTCCTTGGTTTACACCATTTAATCTGCAGTCAGCAAAAGGGACACAAGGGACAATATATCCAGCAGTATGGAGTCCATAGCATCAAGGCTTGAGCCCCTTTTTCCCCCACCTTGCAGATAATATATAGGACAAGCCCCATTTTACAGATGGCAAGACTGAGGCTAGAGACCCATTCTATTTCATTCAGACAGATACACAGGCCAAATAAACACATAGGAATACCATGGTAGTCGTTTTGGCTTGGCTTGTTAGAAGATGAGGCGTAGCTTTTCTTGGTCAGACAAAAAGCGTTTACAATTTTTCTTTCTTTTTTTTCAAAGAATTGTGACTTTTTAATAGAAGTTGGTTCATGCATAGGCATTTTATTCCTCAATTAATTTCCATCTAAATCAGGTTTCCCCAGAGATAACCAGTGTTTTAGTTCCATTTGAGCCTAATTTGTATGACTGAAGCCTCCGTTTCTGCCAATTTCAATTTGCTTGGTGATTCTTGCACTCATTACCTGGGCAGTAATGCCCCTGCTGCAGACAGCAGCACCCAGAGTTGGGAGATGAACCAATTGTCAACAGCAATTCAGCGAAACAGGTGGTCCTTCTCTTTTTCCAATACCAGTCAATAAACAGGAAATAAATTATTAAATAAGCTGTGTTCTGATGGGGATCCCCCATCACGGTATTTACAATGCAAAACAACAGCCACAAGAAGAGCTAAAATAAACCACAAAAACTTTAACTCCAAAAACAACAACCACAGATAGAGGAGAGATGACTTTTGGGTCAGTATCATTGGCTCATTGGTGCAGAAGTGAGAAGAACAAGGTTTCAATAAAGCATTGCTCAATCACATTGAATCTGGCGTATGTTTTTCAGCTGGATTCAGTTGGCCAGTGCGGGAGGAGGCATGTTTGGAGGAATCCTGTTTTTGACTTTATTTTACTATTAGACAAAATTTTCTGTTCAGCTAAAGGGGAAAGCGGGGCAAGACACATGCGCATGAGACCATTTGGAATATCTATGAAAAAGAAGAGGTGAGAAGAAACCAACAGAAGAAAAGGTGAAAGTTGGACTGGAGAAGAACCATGTGCTTTCTTCGCCTTTGAGAACACCCTGAATTTTGGCCTCTCCAAGCAAACCCTTTTGCAAAACAGGATGGGTCTGAGCAAATGACGTGATGGGGCTCTCTGAGACGGAGACCTTGGTTCTAACATCTTAATTTTGTTCTGCTTCTGAAAGATCAACAGTCCTTCAAAGAAGGGAAGGAATGCAGCTAGGAATTTGGTCAAACCTCAATGAACCGGAAGGTTACCAAGTGGGGGTTTTGAGTTAATTAGCATTGCCTAATTAACGGAAGGGAGATCAAATCTTGCTTTTCGTTTTTACTCTCAGGATAGAGAACCTCCCAAACATGACTGGGGCTCTTTTCCTTTTCCCTCTGAGTTTCAGCGAAGCTCCCTCTGTCTTTGGTGACACTCTCAGGCCTCAGGCCAACATTTTGAATTTTTATCCCCCAAGCCCCCAATTTAACAGAGGTGGGAACTTTGCCCAGGAAAAGGGAGCAATGTATCCAGTTTCTGTCATCCAGTGCCCATCCATAGTGGGAAGGTCAGAGGCTTGGGACCCATGGTGCTTGACCTCAAGACACATCCCCTCCCATTTTGGATGTTGGTTTTTGAGATAAACCCTCACCACGAGGAGCATTCTGGTGATCTGTCGTATTCCCTGGAAGCAGAAGGTAATGACGGTGACATAGGCGTAGGAACAGCAATACCAGGAATGAGAGGTTCTGGTTAATTAAGATTACCAGTGCCTCAACAAGCACATTGTTTTTGGAAAGAAAAAAAGGAAATGTAAAAAAAAAGTAGAGAAACACACCAAGTGAGAGAGCGAAAGACAGAGATTTTCCCGAAGCAGGCATTTAAGCAGCCTTCTTGTAAACTTCCCCCAGGAAAGGGGCACTCCCTTGCTTTGGGTTAAGGCTGGGTAGTCACATTGCCAGGGAAACAACCAGGGATGTTGCAAAAGTCTCACTAAACCCAAAGCTGGACCAGGCAAGCTGGAAATTGCAAGGCAGTGGACAGTGGCTGGAAAGGGCAAGAACTGCCTCCAGCCAGCAGCCAGAAGACACTGCCAGTTAGTGAGATAAGCAAGACTGATAAAGATCTCTGGATCCGGGGCCCTTCCAGGATGGGTTAGGAAATGACCTTCTTGGCAGGGTCCTGTGGAACATGTGGCTGCTCCTTCCACCTTTTTTTTTCTTTTCTAATTTGAGAAATAGCTTTGTGCTTGCCCCTGACGAACAGCAAGAGATCATAGATGAAGGCTTTTGCTTTTGGGTTGGTGGGTCTCACCCAGGATGGCCGATGCCTCTTCACAAGGCAGCCTTCAAACCTCAGGGTACAGAGAGAAAGTAGGTACTGTGGAGTGGAAGTACGTGTAACATACATGAAACCAACTAGGTGTGCTCAGGGAAGCTAGGGAGTGGTCCTGCTATGTGCCTTGGAGTGAGGGTGAGATCAAGGTGTGTGTCTTCTTCCCTCAGTCAGCTCAGTTCCCACTTCCATTCTCATGGTGTGAGCACCTCATCAACCACACGTGCAATTCCAGTACTAAACCAGACATCATTTTCATCCACCATGACCCTCAAAATACAAGGCAACTACTTCAGTAAGTACTGAACTGAAGCCTTGTCAATCTGCTAAGATATAGCACATCTGTCTCCAGTCTGGGGCCTCCCTAAGGGATGTTCACAAGGGATTTCGACTTTGGGCAACCTTGGCCCCATGTGCCAACTTTCAACTCCAACCTCCACCTAAGTTGCAACTCCACTATGTCAATTCATCACCGTAGCTCATAAGCCTCTGGGCTGTTTGCATCTTTTGATACCCCAGGGAAGTATCTGGGGGACAGGAGGCTGGGGCACAGGCTTGACTCTCATGGACTCTGGGTTAAGTGATGAACCTTGGGACGGATGTGCCTCCTTCTGGGCCAGCTCCCGGGTGTTCCAGGCTTAGAGCCTTCAGGGAGAAAGCCAATAGCCCAGCCACCTTTGGCTTCTCAAATCCCATCCGTAAAAACAGGAGAAAAAAAGAGAGATGCACAAAAATAATTTAGGAGGAGACCCCCTCAACATACACACAGACACACACACACACACACACACACACACGCTCTGTATAAATAAATAAATATTAAATACTGCTAATGGTGAGAGAGAGGCAGTCATCACATAAATAAATAAATAAACAGATAAATAAATAAAATAAATAAAAAGGTTTGCTAGGAGCCCTAGGCAAAATGGTCCCCTAGAGTTCTCTCAATGAAGGCAGTCCGAAGGCGAGGCTCCGTTGCCTCTCACAGCTGTCCTGCTAAGAAGGTTTTTGGTGGCTCCGGGAAGCCTTTGCCTCCGTGGAGGGAGACTGAAGTCCAGTTTGGGTTCCTGGGTGGGGATGAGGGTTATTTACAGTGGCTGTACATGCCCTCCCCAGGGCACCTGCCTCTGTCCCAGTCACCTGCCATCTGGCCTTCTTCGGTGACAGCATTGACATCCATTAGTCTTTGTGGGTGGGGCTTAGGTCTGGGCCAGAGGCCTGGCAAGGGAAGGCCAGTCATCCACTGCCACCTGGGGGCCTTGATCCTCTCCCCTGATGGAGGAAGGACTGTCCTGGTGGTGGCTGCATGGCTATCTCTAACCTCGTCGGTTGACAGGATGGGAAAGATTGGGTAGGGGAGAGGTCACTGTTTCCAAGAGAAAGGGCTGTTTTCCAAATGTTTTCCCTGGGGTGGGAGGGATAAAGAATGTTTGGTCCCTGCTTCCCCATAACCCAAAATATCCAAAAGCTGGATCTGTCCTCTCTCCCTGCCTCCCTCCATACCCTGTCCCGCTGCTGTTGCCACCACAAACTTGAAACTCACCCACAAGCCTCCGGAAAGCCAGTCAGCTGGTGAGGGGGATGCCCAAGAGTTTATTTTAAGGATCTTATTCCTCACCTCCCTGTTCTTAGAGCCTTCTGTGGATGAAGCAGCTGGTGGTATTTGTGTATCAGAGATCAGCTTACCCTCTCTGCCCAGCCCCGGGCAGGGGGAACTTGGGGTGAGGGCAGAAATAAAGGCGAGTCTTTCCCAAGCTAGCAATAAACCTCAGAAGCTGTCAGGAGCCCAAGACAGGGAACATTCAAGCCCCTTTTCTCTGGACTCTGGATTTGGGTCTTTTTCCCCAAACCTGAGCTGCTGTGCCCTATCCTGGCAAAATTCCTGAGAGGCAAGGGGAGTGGCATAACCTGAAAGGTGGGTGGGTAGGTGCCAGGCTGCACTGGGTGGCATCCAGGGCGTGGCAGCCTGGGCAGAGGGGAGAGGGTTGGGAGGCGCCCACTGGAGGGTAAGGCCAGACTGGCTGGCGCTGGGGCCTGGCAACCAGCCATGGCACTGGGGAATGTTCAGCAGATGGTCCCATGGAATTAAGTTGGTGCCAGCCAGTGGGGCTGAGGTGGATTTGGGAAGTGCGGCTGGAGACCAACCTGTCCTGACTCTCCCACTATCTCCTATCTTGTGAGGTTGCAGGGCCCCTATGAATGGCCAAGAGGTGTTTTGTGTCATCAGCCCCACGGTGGCCTCTCCATGGCTGGGATCTGCTGGGCCCTGTGCCCTGACCATGCTGAGATATTGGGAGCAGCAGACTGACCCCTTCTGTTTTTGCTATCTATCGTCATAACCAGAGAACCCATCTCCTATCTCCTGACACCTCCCACCAAGTCAAATATCCATCTCTGGTATTCAAGGATGTCCCTTCTTCTAGGACCCAAGAGTCTTCCAGACTTTGCTCTGGCCTGTTTGAGGAAGTTAAAGGCCTGACCCCCTTATCTTGAACCTGAACTGCCATTGGTCACCTCTTCCACATCTCCCCGACATGGGGGTCCATTCATGTGCAGCCATGAGGTTGGAGGAGGGGAGCATCGGGGGAGGTGGGGAGAATTCCCACAGGCCTCCTGTGAGCAGTGGGTGAGGAGATTTTCCTGGCCAGGGCTCAATTTCTGAGTCAGGGACCCATTGTTTCTTAACAAAACCTTGAGGTTTTCTTTTCTTTTTGTGCCACAAAAGGATGGTTCTCTCCATAGGCCCAGGCCTGAGCTGAGGCCTAGGATGGTGCTGGTAGAGGCTCCTAGCAGCTTGACCTAGAGGGTGAATCCCCCGTACCCTCTTCTCTTCCCCCAGGCAAGCAGGAATGACAGGTATAGGAGCCCTCACTATCTGTCACCAAGGAGAAGGCGGGGAGGGCAGGTGGTTGGGGGAGGCTGGCAGCTCGAAGGGGCCCCCACGGGCAGCGGGCTCAGGGGCACTTAGCGCCTCGTGCTGGAGTAGCTGCCTGCTGAGCTGTAGCTCCGGCTCCGGCTCCTGCTCCGGCTCCGGCTCCTGCTCCTGCTCCGGCTGCGGGAGCCCAGGCTGGGGCTGCGGGAGCTAGAGCTGCTGCTTGTGCGGGTCCGGCTCCGGCTCCGACTCCGGCTCCGACTCCGGCTCCGGGAGTAGCTGCGGCTGGCCGAGCGGCTACTGCTGCTGCTGTACCAGGAGGAGGTGCTGCTGAGGCTGCCGGATGAAGAGGGGCTGGGCCGATAGTAGGGGATGGGGCGTTTCCGGGCACTGCCGAGACCAGAGAGAGGAGGGATGAGGGCCGGTCCCTCCCAGCCTCCCCGCAGAGAGCCCCAGTCTTGTCCTCAGGGAAACCAGTATCCTCCCTTTTCCCAGTCCCTTACGAAAAAGTCCTCCCTTTCCACTTCTCTTGCAGTCCTGAGAACACATCAAAGTGAAAAGTCTCAGCTTAGTACTAGTATGTCTTGAAAAATGATTATGTCACTCTTTTCTTCCCCCCCATGAAGGAAGCCTGGGGCTCAAAGCCTCCGGCGTGCAACAGAATCTACATCTAAACTTTAATCATAGTTTTGTTTTGCTATTTTTACTTTTACTAGAACCATCTATTTATGGCAAAAGAGGCTAATTTTCCATTTACTGTAGCATATCAAGTTTCCCTTAGAAATAAATGTATGAACCTTTTAAAAGGGTCATATCTATTTAAAGAAAATTAAGAATAGTACAGGGGATAAGCAGACAAGGCATACGTGGTAAAGATGCTGGTGAATGACTGAAAATTGGGAAACAGTGAATGGGTTAATCAAGATGAATTATTTGAGATTGACTAAAGAAACTAGACAGCCTTTTGGAAATGCCACTCTCCGTCTTAGCCTTCCTCCAAGTTGATCCCATAGATAATAATAATACCAAAACCTTCCATTTTGTGCTTACTATCCTGGCCACTTACTAGCTGTGTGACGTTGGATCAAGGAAGTGGGTTTAGGAATTATATATATTATATTAATTATATTATTTTCAGACAGTGTCTTGCTCTGTCACCCAGGTTGGAGTGCAGTAGCACAATGTCAGCTCACTGCAACCTCCACCCTTGGGCTCAAATGATCCTCCCACCTCAGCCTCTGGTGTAGGTGGGACCACAGGTGCACATTACCATGCCTGGCTAGTGTTTTGTATTTTTGGTAGAGAAGGAGTCTTGCCATGTTGCCCAGGCAGGTCTAAAACTCCTGAGCTCAAGCAATCTGCCCACCTTTGCTTCCCAAGCATTAGAAGCTGAGGCAGGGTGGTCTGTGGGATATTTGAGATGGGGACTCCATCACCCCAGTTTTGCTATCTGGGGCACACATTTTTTTCCCTCCTCCAAGTCATCTCCAGGGAGGATCCCTGATTCCTCAGTCCAATCTCTGGCCTGAGTGGCAGATCCTTGGAAGACCAGAAACAAGAGCCCAATCCAATCTTAGGGCAGCATTCAGCTATTCTTCCAGCTTTCAAGGCCTGAGAAATTTGCTTGTGCTCAGACTTCTCTGCTAGAGCTTTTCTCTTCTGAGGGCTTACTTGTTCCAGGAAACGTATCCACCTATTCTGACCATTCAATCAACAACAGTGGCACATTGTGTGCTCTGCATTTAAGTGTACAAAGCACGCTCACATCTTTTTGCCCCTTTTCATTTCATCCTCATGATACTTCTGGGGGTTATTTCCTCCAATATCTCATGGGTGAGAAAACTGAGGCTCAGGAAGGTAAGAACCTTTCCCACGTCACCTGCAAAGAGGCACACCCAGGATTCCACTCCACATCCAGTGCTCTCTGGCTTATCCACCGTGGCTCCCTCAAGGTACTTTTAGCATCCAAGCAATCCTGTTATCCCTCTCCTCACTTGATTCAAGGTATAATTACATATAGGTTTATTTAAGCCTGACAGCTGAGTGTACAGATCTGAGGCTCTGTCTCCACTGCCCGGGATCCACTACGAGGTCAAGGTCCTACCCCATTGATTGGCCTCCATTCCCTGGCCTGAGGCTACTCTCCCCCAGCTTGGCCTTCCCGGCCCCAGCTCCGCCTCCCCGGCCCCAGCTCCACCCCCAGGCCTCGACCACACCCCCAGGCCACACCGGATTTTCTGGGTGGCCCCGCCTGTGGCCCCCGTCCCCTTCTTGATGGCCCTGCTGGTTGGGATGGGAGACTCAGTCCCGAGGCTTTGAACAGACATATAATTTCAATGATGTTGGGGTTGGGGGACCTTAAGCTTCCACCATCCTGAATCCCAGCCCCAAGCAGGCCTAGGGAGAGCCTGAGGCTCAAATGAGTAAGAATGGGGGTGGAAGGAAGGGGAAGGTGGGACCCCCCCCACCCCCTGGCCTTACCTGGTTATCCTACGGGCCTCCAGGTGGCTCGGGGAGTCTCTCCGGCGCTTCCTCATGGGCGAGTAGGACCGACGTCTCCGACGCGCTCGCTCGCGCTCCCGCTGCTGCGAGTCCTTCTCACTGTATTTGGGATCCCGCTCCCTGAAGGGGCGCGGGGGGTTACTGGGGAGCTAGGGCTGGGCTGGATTTTCTGCCTGAGCGCGTGGGAGAGGGACACTGACTTCCTTTCTTTCCCACCCCCCACTGGGTCAGGGGACGGGATCTGCGTGGAGCCGCACGCGAGACCGGAAGGAGGATGACTGGGCTGCGGGAAAAGTCTGCGAGGGTTAGTACCGTAGGGGTGGGGGCTGGGCGCGTGCCGGGGTGTCAGCCTTTGCAGGTGGGCATCACAGCGGTGCAGGTGCCGCAGGGGTGTGAGGACGTGAATGTTACGCGGGCCTTGGTGCTTGGGTAAGGACTGGGGGCTCTGAATATAGGGATGGTGGGTAGAGGCTGAGGGCTGGGCATGTGAATTGGGGTGTGTCTGTGGGAGGGTTTGGGCTGGAGACATTAGGAAACAAGGATATATTTGGTGCCTCGCTGCCACTCCTGATTAGGCAAAAGCAACTGCAAGAATGGTGAGCCAGGGTCAGACCCAAGAGGTAGAAGGCCCCAGAACGAGGAGACCAGGCCAGAGAGGAGAATCAGAGCAAAGGGGTGGAGTCTAGGGCGGGGCTATCTTGAGGGGCGGGACCAGCGCCTGGGGCGGGGCCGGTACCTGCTGGGACTGTAGCGGGAGTAGCTGGGGCTGCGGCGGGACCGAGAGCTTCTGCTGGGCGGGCTCCTCTTACCAGACTTGGAGGAATAGCTGGGAGAGCGGGAATAGGACCTGGGGGAGAGGTAACAGCCTCTGAGGAGCCTGCTAAGTGTCCGCCTGGGTTATCCAAGACGGCTTGTGCTTTTTCAGTGGGTCCCTGGGCGGTGACCTTTTTCTTTCTGGAAACCAGGCAGAGGAACTGGGCCCAGATCAAAGAGTGAAAGCACCTCCCCATGGGTGGTTAATAATAATACCAACAACTTCTACTTTGTGCTTACCACCCTGGCCGCTTACTAGCTGTGTAACGTTGGCAGATGATTTCCCTTCTCTGGGCAAGTTTTCTTGTCCATAAAATGCAGGTAATAATAGTTCTTTCCTTATACAATTGTAAATTGAATGAGTATATTCAGGTAAATCACTTAGCATATTGGCACCTATGCTAAGTACCAATTAGACAGGACACAGGAAATGTTAGCTATGACTGTGACATATTGTATTATGTGTCAAACTGAACCAACGCTTTGTGTTCCTTATTTCATTTAATCCTCAACACATCTTAGGGTTAGGTACTATTATCAATTTCACTTCATAGATGGAGAAACAGAGGCACAGAGAGGTGATGCACTTTGCTCAACAGAGCTGGTAGAAGAGGTGAACCCACGTCTGTTTGCCTCTAAACCAAATTGAATTCAGATCTGTTTGGTTGCAAAGTGCTCTTGATTTCTGTAGACTAGATTATTATGCACCTAAATGACTAATCCTTATGCCCCTCCCAGTTTTCTTTGCTATCTGCGAATGCCTCCCACTTTTAGAGAGCAGGGGCAAGAATAGCTCTGCCATTATCAGTGTCCTGGGCAGTGTCCGGGTATGGTCTCTGGAAAAATGTGCTTTTGCCAGCTTATGCTTTGGCTGTTCATTGTGAGATATAAGAAAGAGTCAAGATGAAACATGTTTTTGGACACTTTGAAAGGATAGTGTCAGGTATTTCTATTCACTGCACCATGGAGTTCCTTTTCTGTAGAGCCATATGAGTCATTTTTCATACACTTAAAAACTGGAAATAGCTGTTCCTGTGAGCAACTGGTTCAAGTCTTATCTTTTTGTTGTTGTTAATAATACAATAAATAATGAAGTAATTTTCCTCTTTGCTTTGTCTGTCAGGGAGCTCAGATGTCATATTTGCAGCTTATCTCCATAGCAACTATACAGAATGGTAGGACATGCTTTTGGGACTTTCTCCTGACTTTGTATATTTCTTTCCTTAATTTTCCTTTTGATTTGCTCTTCTATTTATGTCATTCTATCATGTTGAACGCTTCTGTCAGCTGCCTTGTCTCATTTTTTGGAATGGACCAGTCTTGAGATGAATAGCTAAATAAGCAACTGTTTTTTGATTGTATAGTTGTAAAAGAGGCTCCTATTGGGAATTTTTTTTTTGCAGAGGAAAACTGGACCCCCTGAATTTATGGGCTGATTCGTTTGAATAGAATCTTCCCATTTCTGAGATTTCATGTCTCATTCTACTACATCATTATTCCACATGATGCAATCAAGCAATTACCAATAGCTGTTGAAACTGGGTGGCAAAATGCAAAAATTGCCATAATTTTTCTTCTCCCTGTGTCCACATCCCCTGCAATGTGACTTTGAATCTGTATTGGTCTTGTGACTTGCTATGGCTGTTAGAATAGAAGAAGGGATGCTATGTCACTTCCAAGCCTAGAAGCCTTGCGCAATACTGCGGTCTCTCTTGGAATTCTGTCATCACCATGTTAACAGACCAAGATAGGCCTACTGGAGAAGGAGAGACCACATGGAGCAGAGATGAGTCAGCTGGGGTCTTTCAATCCCTCCAGCCCCCAGCCAACCCACCAGCCAATCAAAGGCATATTCTTGAGCCCAGTGAGATCAGAAGAACCACCCAGCTGAGCCCAGTCCAACTGCCGATCCACAGGATCAGGAACTAAGTAAGCACTTGTTTTAAAGATGCTAAGTTTAGGGATATTTTTTATGCAGAAGTTAATTGATACACATTAGCTGATTCTCATTCCAATAGCAGCAACAATAACTGATATTCATTATGTTCCATGCACTGTTCTAAGAGTCCTTAGAACAATCCTTTCCGGTAAGAATTGCTATTTTTTTGTATTGCAGATGGGAAAACTGAGGCTCAGAGAGGTTAACTGACTTTTCCAATTCCACCAGCTAGAAATGAGCAAAAACGAGTATTCAAACCTACATCCGTCTGACTTCTCTCCTCCATTGGTCAAAGGACATCTGCAGTAAACTAATTCCCTTAAGAGAAAAGTGCTGCAGAGCAAAGGTCAAAACCACACTCACCTCTTTTCAGAAGAAATGGATCGGCTTCGGGTGTACCTGGGGGAAGCCCTGGGATTTGGGGATCGGGAGGAGTGACTGGAGGATCGCGTGCTGGCATAGGAGGAGCTGCGGGAGCACCCTTTCATGGGTGAGCTCCGGGCTGTGGATGGGACCAAACTGGACTTCTTCACTTCAGCACATTCCAGACACGGTGACTGAAATCCCCTGCAGGAGGGAAAATGTCCGTGAGCAGCGATACCCACTACTCTGGGAGCGTCTTGTGTGAATACCTCCCTACCTTGGCCTAGGCTTTGGTGCTCTCATAGAACCCTCCTTGCCCCTTTTCCCATCCTACCCTCTCCGGAAAGACCTACCAGGTCACATATGTTAAAGGAGTAGGGACAGAAGATACCTTAAAAATAGACAATTCGAGTTAGCACTTCCCCAAGTGTGAAACATATCACAAGGGTAACGATGGAGTATTTTAGTGTGTCATCAGGCATGGGCATGCTGCTAACTAACATCCAATCACATGGTGAGAGACTTATTCCTTGTCTAGTCTTTTTCTGTCCTTCTGATTAAGTTAATGAGAAAGCCCCCGTTGTGTGCTAGTCAGTTTGTAACACCTCTCTAACATTTTGTAATCTCTCCAAGAGAGAGGGGCACACCTCAGACTCAGCCTTGGGCAAGCAACTGCAATTAGTAGGATTAAATCCATTGTTTCAATTATCTGTATTTTTTTTGTTAATTGAGAAATTAAGAAATTTTTCAATTTCCAACCAGGCTGGAGTGCAGTGGTGCAGTCTTGGCTCACTGGAATTACAGGTGCCTGCCACCTTGCCCAACTAACTTTTGTATTTTTAGTAGATATGGGGTTTCACCATCTTAGCCAGGCTGGTCTTGAGTTCCTGACCACCTGCCTCAGCCTCCCAAAGTGCTAGAATTACAGGCATGAGCCACCACGCCCAGCAATCATTTGTATTTTTATAGGTATATTTTATTTAGAACATATTATTATTATTTTTGAGATGGAGTCTTGCTCTGTCCCCCAGGCTGAAGTGTAGTGGCACCATCTGGGCTCACTGCAACTTCCGATTTCTGGGTTCAAGCAATTCTCCCGCCTCAGCCTCCC